AAACTCCTGCTTTGTGTCATTTTAGAGTCTTTGTGTTGATTTTTCCTTCTTTCTGGAAATTTCTTTCCCCTGGAGGGAGGACTAACTTTGTAACTCTCTCCCCTCCTTTAAGTATTCCTGAACATCGCTTTTCAATGGTGCCTACACTGAGCACCTTTTGAAATTTACAACCCCGTCTCAGGAACGATGCACCAGTGGATTCTTACCAACCTCTACATTCTTTTTCATAGTGCTTCTCGCCTTCTGACCTAGAATTATTATGTGCTGTGTTTACTGTTAACTCTCCCTCATCCCAGCTGAACAGTCTGTGAAGAAATCAAAGGTCTCAAATAAATCATGTTAGCTTCAACCTTAAGAAACTAGAAAAATTAGAGCCAATCAAACCCAAAATCAGGAGAAAAGATAAAATAATAAACATCTGAGTGGGTATCAGTGTAATAAAAAAGAGAAAATCAAGAAAATAAATGAAAATTTTAAAAGTTGATCGATAAACCTCCAGAAAGACAGACTAGGAAAAGAGAAAACAGACGAATCACAGACTGGGAAAGAGAGGGAGTCACATTGCAGAGTCCGTGGATTTGGAAGGCTAATAAAATAATACTACGGACAACTTTGTGCCTTTGAATTTGATATCTTGAATGAAATGGACAAATTCCTTAAAAGAAATTAATTACCAAGGCTCACTCAAGAAACAACAGATCAGTTGAATAGCCCTATATCTTTTTTGAAAAATTTAATTTATATTTATCCTTTCCATGAAGAATACCTCAAGCCCACAGAGCTTTCCAAGAGACCATGTGCTGAAGGAAGGAAACTCCCTATTACACATAAAGTCTGAAACACTGAAGAAGTTCTTCTTTCCAACTCATTCTTTGATGGTTGCTTTACCCAGAGACAAAAAACAGACAAATTAATTGTAAGAAAAGTAAACTACACACTAATATCCCTCAAGAATATAGATATAAAAATTTTAAACAAATTCCAGCAAAGCTAATTCAAAAATACATAAAAATATTAATAGGCTGTGATTAAGTGAGATTTATATTAGTTATAAAAGAGTTATCTAGCATGAGGAAATCAACCATATTAACAAACTTAGGAAAAAGCAACATGATTACTGAAATAGATGCCAAAAAATTTATTTGACAAACTCCAATATAAATTCTAAAAAACTAAACAAAACAAAAAAGCAAAATAGTAACAGATGGGAACATCCTCAACTTAATAAAGAAAATCTATGAAAAACCTGTAGCTAACTTCATGTTTGATGACAAAGACCTCATTCTCCACCTATATCATCAGGAAAACACAACAGTATCTACTCTCATCACTTCTATCCAACATTGTATTGTCTAAGCCCTTCAAAAAAGTAAGAAAAAATAAAAATACAAAATACCTCTATATCAGAAAGGAAACTGGAAAAAAAATGAAAAAAAAAAAAAGAATCTCATGGTCTTGTAAAATAATAGCAAGAAATCTAGTGTTTGAGTAAATGGAGTCCCAAGAAAAAAGAAGAGAAAGAATGGGAAAGAAAAATATTGAAAATAATCATGGACCCAAACTTCCAAATGTGGGGAAAGACATACATTTACACTCATGAGCTGCCTACCAAATTCCAAATAGAAGAAATAAAATGAAAACCCCACTCTTGCAACCCAAATAAAAAGATGGTTAAGTCACCAGGAAAACATAATAATGGGTGACCAGTGATGTCATTAATCAAAGATATCTCGACTAAGACATCAGAGACCAGACCTCTGTGAACAACTGAAAATCAAAATAACCCAGCCAATCCAGAGTTCTACACCCAGACAAAAATATTTAAGATTTAATAAAGACATTAAGATAAAGACATTTTCATTCATTAAAACATTAATAAGATAAAGACATTTTCAGATATTAACATTAAGATAAAATAAAGACATCTCAGATACTAAAACCAAGAGCTTGTTGCCAATAGATCTTCAATGCAGGATAAAGAAAGTTCTCTGGGCTATGGGGGAGTGATGACAAGCTCTACCGGAAAAAGAAATGGGCACTGGAAATGATAAATATTTGGAAAAATAAAAGATGTTTTTATTTTCCTCTCAATGTAGGAAATAAATATTTGTATCTTTTAGGATGACCTTTCTGCCTATCTGCATAGCCGGACCTCCAGGAGAAGAAATCTGCCCTTCAAACACCTGTTCTTGCCTTTTTTACATCAAAAGCTCTGCCCTTGACTGCAGTCATACTAATGTTAGGTAATTCTCAACGTGATTGGTAATTCCCAATAAAACAAACAAGCACGCAAGCAAAGAGCATCTCTATTCAGAGATTCCTCTGTTGGTTTAAGTCTCTAGCAACACAGTTTTTCCCAGTGATGGTTTGAAACTGTTTTTGTTGTTGTTGTTTTGTTTTTTGTTTTTGTTTTTTTGTTTTTTACCAACCTTAAAGGAAAGAAGGCAGGTAAAAAAGCACAGAGGTGTATGGCACCAATGTCGGATGGTTTATAACGCTGGCTGCTCTAAGTACGAGCCCTTAAATCTCCACGCGGTCATGCAATACGCTGTTAGTCACCTGCAGCCCCATTGGTAGGGATGGGAAAGAACTGGCAGAGCCTTCAGGAAAGCAGACGGACACGGGTTTCTTCATCCTCAGCCAGAAGCTTCTAAGGCTACCCTCTGCCTTCCCATCCAGCTGGAAAATAGCATGATGAGATCTAGTTGTTCTTCCTCGAAAGTCTCTGCAGAGTCGTGATTTTTTTTAAGAGACTAAAGAGAAAAAAAAAAAAAAGGTAATGAGGAAAGTTTATTTCAAACAATGGAGAATGTCGAGCTTTATAAGCTGCTCTGGGCCAGAATTTCCCTAATAACTGCCTCATTCATACCCTTCTTTAACATTGGCGATGCTTTCTCGATCCAAGTAGGCTGCCTAATGGAAAGCGCTCCTATGTGTTAGGTGAGCCGAGAGCTGACGGAGGGAGGAAAAGCCAGAATGATCAGAATGAAGGGCGTAAGAGGAGCCAGGATAAAGGAAAGACAAACGGGACAGGTGGCAGACAGGAAGACAAACAGTGAAAGTGATAAAGAAGAAAATAAAGCTTGAGTATCTTAAGCAACTGGGAGCTTTTAGACAATGGGACTATTTAGGGTATAGATCAGCTAGATCTTTGAAACTCGGCTTGGTAGATGATGTTTTAAAACGTGAGAGAATTGGCCTACGATCACATACGTTCAGTCTGCACACTGCCTCCATCACCTCTCTGCCCCATCCAACTTCAGCCTTTCCACAGCAGCTCAAGTCCTTGGGGGGAAATCTCGACCTTCAAGGGCTCTGCTCAAAAACCACCAACTGATACATAACCAGAGGCCATCACAATGAACCTGCCACCACCCATCATCTCATTTTCAGCAAAAATCCTCCTCATTTCCCAGCGACCAGCTCCCACAACTCTGCCTTTCTGTCCCTGCTCCAAACCCCGGGAAGAATGAACCCCTCTTCCTCTGTGACCCTACTGCATCACAGCTCGGTCCCTAGTAAGATTGCTTGGAGTTTCTGCTGATTGTCTTACATACTCACAGTTGCTACAGTAATTTTATACTCTGCAGGACAAGGTCAGGACCCTTTCTGCACCTGTGCTCCTCGATGGGAGCTGACATGTCTGCAGGGGAAGGGAACTGAAGGGAATGGTCTTGAGCTGCCCTCAGCAGTGCCCAATGGACCAGATGAAAGGCAGGACTGCACTGGGGTAGGTTTCTGGATTTCTAGAAGAATCTATGGATGGGGACTCAGCTGACAAGAGAAAATGGGCAGAACTTCTAAACCGCACAGATCCCAACTCATGCCAGGTTGCATATTTGCATGTAATTTTTACGCAGTGAAAACCGCACGGTGGGAACTGAAGTTGATTCTCATAATCGTGGATCTCCGAATGCAGGAGGAGTGCTGACTCAGTGTTTGGCAGAGTGGGAGCGTCGTGAGAAAATTGTGTCAAAAGAGGGGAAAAGACCATCTTTCTAACACAGGAATGCGAAGAAGAAGGAACTCTCCAGACCGCCTATTATACCAACAAAAATTGTCAGGAAGGAAAAACAAAAATGGTAAATTCAAGAGGATTTTTGAACACACACTTCACTAAGCACTCTTGGGAGATCATTTTAATACGTGATCAGATTGTCTCTCCCAAAAACCCAGAGATTTTGTAGAGGACAAAAAGGACATGGAGGAGAGTTAAGTGACTCATTTGGGATTGTGAATCTGGTGATTCGAACAGAGACGTGTTCAATTTCAAAACATGTGCCCTAACCTGGAAATCAAACCTAAGTCCACATGCCCTGTCATCGTTCGTTACAGGGACACCTGCTCTGCCCAGTTTCACACATCAGGATCTCAGCTACCGCCCCAGTCACCTTCAGGCGTTTCAGGTGAACAATAAAAAAAAATCTTGATATTTTTGATGTTGTTACTTTGTTTGCATATCACTCGGGAGTCCATAATACCACTGTAAAGAATCGTAATTATAATTATAATGTTAGCAGTCATGGCCAGGAGACTTCCAAGTAGCTGCAGGCAACAGCAGGTATATAAGAAACAACTTCTCCAAACCTCCTCCCCAGAAATATGAAATAACCACATCGACGAACATTCAAAGCCAAACCACACTCTCAAAGTTACTCAAAGACACAGAAAGCAAAACTGGCAAAATAAGTGCGTGTCAAAAGAGAAAAATAAAGACAAGCAAGTGCTGGTCTCACGTGGTACCGCCCCATCTCTGCCCTTGGTAGGACCGGCAGTTCGGATTGAGAAACAGAACCAAAACCACCAAGGGGATCAGAGCAGAAACTTCAGCCCAAGGGGACTGACTGAGAACTGGTGTGACCACCAGGAAAAGTAAATTCACTCTAAGTCTGAGAGGACAAGCAACTGGGCAGATCAGAGCAAGAAGCACACAGGAGGAATTTCAAAGTATGTCTTAAACGGGGAGCTATCAAAAATCAAAAAACAAATTCACCACTTTCATGAGGCAACAGTTGCAGGAGATGCAGGTGATGGGGGGAGATTCGGAGAGCTGGCTTGACTTGTGCGAGGCAGGTAAGACTTGGGCAGAGATCAATCAATGTCCGTAAGATCAACTCTAATACAATCAGAAGCATTCTAAAGTCCATGATGGTCAAATATAAAATTTTAAGTAAAGACAGCATCTGGCTCTTCGCTTCTACAACCCTGCCTCACACATGTCACTAATCCTGGCCCACATTCCAATAAAACTTTATCTATGAAAACAGAAGGCTATCCCATAGGCTATACTTTGCTGGTTTAATCTTTTGAAATACTGCAGTAAAAGATTGTTTTACCTTGATTACCAAGTGTTTTGGCGCCCCATTACACTTTGTGCCTAAGGTGAGTGTATCAGTCCCCTTTCCCTTGTCTTAGTCTTGCTGATAAGAAATTTTAACTTATTACTCTCCATATAAAACAGATGAAATTCCAGATATCAACGAAAAGGACAAAAAGTTGTTAAAGAACTACCCTGTAAAAAAAAGCCTACATGTTTTCACAGGGAAATTCTGCTAAATTCTTCAAAAGACCAGATATTTCTAATACTCTGAATTATTCAAGGACACTGAAAAGGAAGGAAAACTATATGATTCCTTTTTGTAAGCCATAATACCTAAACCAGATAGTGATAGTAAAAAAAAGAAAGAGAGAAAGAGGAAGAAAGAAAAAACTGCAGACCAATATTTCTCCTTAAATAAATTCAAAATTCTAAAGAAAATATTAGCAAACAGAATCAATATCTTAATAATACATTAATCAGTACATGATTAATAATGATATACTATGTCAAGTGGCATTTGTGCAAAAATACAAAGTTAGTTCAATAGTTCAGCCTTCTGTCTCTAGAACTTTGAGAGAACGCATTAAGTTGTCAGATTGAGGGTACTGTGGCAGCCCTTGGAAACTAATGCAGACTAATGCATCCCAGCTTTGCCTTCTAGAAGGACCTAGAAGCACTGACACGAGTTCTAGGCTTCTCAGTCTCATTCTCCATCATGAAGGAACCAGGATATCTCGGGGGGAATGACTGACTTCAGGGTTAAGGCAGAGAAAACACGAGATGAGTCTGGCACATCTGATCGCATCAGAAAGGAAGAATGTACTCAAAACAGATGCGGGCTTGTCCAAGCAAAGGGAGCCAACCTGGGGACACTCCTAATATAGACAGCTGGAATAATCTGAACTATAAAATACGTAATAGAATTATCCACAGACTAGACTTAAAATATATCAAAAATAATTAAGTAGGAGAGAGGGGAAAGTTCTTATAGAATTCCAGTTAATAAATAGGAAAGCATGGGGCACCCGGGTGGCTCAGTCAGTTAAGTATCTGCCTTCAGCTCAGGTCATGATCCCAGGGTCCTGGGATCTCGGGGTCATAGGATCAAGCCCCACATTGGGCTCCCTGCTCAATGAGGAGTCTGCTTCTTCCTCCCCCTCTTCCCTTCCCCCTGCTCGTTGTTCTCTCTTTCAAAAAAATAAATAAAATCTCTTAAAAAATATATAGGAAAGCAAAGAGGAAACAAAGTACCAGGAGGCAAATACCACAATAGTAATTGCTACAGACCAGCTCCTGCTGAGGGCTCCGTTAAGAGGCAAATGTTTGAGTAGAAGCAGGATTCACGAAGTCTCAAAGTATCTTCCCTGAGTTATTTATTACCCGCACAGGTTAGGATGGTAACTTTACAGTGGGAAAATCAATAGAATCCATCTTAACCAAGTAATCAAAGGCAGTGTCACCAGTAATAAGACACCTAACATTATCAGCCCTCTGATAAGATGGAGTGAGGAAGACACATCATTTCTGTGATATTCTTGCCAAAGATGTATAATCTCAGCACGGGGACTAGAAAACATTAAGCAAGCCCAGATTAGGGGGGGAAAGGGGGAAGGATATTTATATTTCAGCCAAGCATTAGAAACATGTTTAAATTAGTTTCACCTCACTTAAGGAGCATTGGAAAATCAACTGATCCACCATCTTTAAAAGTGTCAAGGTCAGGGACGCCTGGGTGGCTCAGTGGGTTAAGCCTCTGCCTTTGGCTTAGGTCATGATCTTAGGGTCCTGGGATCGAGCCCCACATCGGGGCTCTCTGCTCAGCAGGGAGCCTGCTTCCCCCTCTCTCTCTTCCTGCCTCTCTGCCTACTTGTGACCTCTGTCTGTCAAATAAATAAATAAAATCTTAAAAAAAAAGGTGTCAAGGTCATGAAAGACAACATTGAGGTATTCCCACAGCCTGCAGGAAGGTAAGGAGATATAAAAGCTAATCACAAGGTGAAAACCTGGGGAGGTTGTTGGAACAGAAAAAAAGAATGTTGGCAGAAAAAGTGGTGCGATTCAAACGCAGCGGTTAGTTGAGTTACTAGTATCCTACCAAATGTTAATTTCCTGGTCCTGATCTTTCTGCACTGGCTAAGTAAGATGTTAACAAAAGCTGAGCGAGGAAAACCATACTGCTTTTGTGACTTTTCTGTAAATCCCAGTTTTGTTCAAAATTTTCAAAAGTGAGTGAACCCACAAAATAGATGAAAATAATACAGTTTACTGAACAGTTTGTTTAAAAAACACAAAATTAAATCAGTATTATTAGAGGGTGAAGGTCTTCTCCACTATTTTTTCCTTCCCCCTCCCTTCCTTTTCTTTCTGTTCATTCCTTCCTTCCTATCTCTTTCCCTTCTTTTCTCCCCTCCTTTCTTCTTTCCTTCCATCTTTCCTTTTAAGCTTGATGAGGAAACACATCCCACAGCAGAATGTTTGTTCAATCTTGTTATAGTTTTGGGAGACTTTCAAAAGCCTCATTAGAGGGACTCAAGATACAATTATCTGATTAAAATCAAGCCTGGAAGTAATTTGTTTCCATTTGACAAACAACCTCTTTTCTCTGAGCCAGGTTTAGCTCCGCTGCTCAGACTGTTTGGGGAAACTGTAATCAATAGCTATTTACTTCCACTAAGCTGAGGAAAATAGGAAGGGAGCATAAAAACAGAGAGGATGTTGGAATGGGGACAGGTTTTAAGAAAAGAAGGAAATAGACAAAGCCAGTCAAAGTTCTTTTTAGAAAGCATTTTTGTTCATTATTAGGGCAAAACGGACAGTTTGCCATAATTATTATAAGTTGGGGATTTTTGAGGGAGGACCTTAAAAATGCACAATCTGAAACAAGTATCACTAATAGTCAAAAACTTATTTAAATTATCAAGTATAGGACAAGATCCCGGACTCTTTTTTCCCCTATGGGAGCATTTGGGTCAGGTGGGAAACAGAGATCAATTACCTATCTATTCATGCCTCTTGTAAAATTTTCCAATGCCCTCACCATCGCCATCATCCTAAAAAACGTCTGTATGTCATTACCTCACTGCCCATGCTGCTCTAACCGCAATCAGATAACAGGACAATGCCATGGTTGTTTTTTAAAAATAAGAGTGGGGGGAGAAGATGAGGGCTGGTTTTTGTCCTGAAGAAAAGAAGAATCTATTGTCAAATGGAATATTAAGTAAGGACTAATCTCTCATATCATATAATTATGATAATGTCAGACATTTTTCATGAAGGGGAGTAAACCAGATAAAAGAATTAACAGAAAATGATTCGAAGGCCATGTGCTATGAACTAGAGGGAAAGCTTTGTGCAAATAACCAGAACACCTGGGGTCATGGGTCCTTAGGCAAGTTAACTTTTTCAAATTTCATTTCCCCCTCTAAAATTAGGAAGCCTAATTACATTGTTAAATGCTGTCCAGACTTCTAAATTTGTGCAATTTCAGGAAGCCTGTTGAATTTGACTTCAAGTTGAGTGATAATTTTGTTCAGACGCTCGATTCTTTCCAAAAACCTTTTTTAAGTCTACGATTTAGTTCACATATTTTTTTTTCTTTCTCTAATCATCACACTGCAGTTGAGAAATTTCGTACCTAAATATAGAGAGGGCACGTATTATATATAGTGTATTTACCTAAGTAGCCCAAAGAGCGCAAATTACCGTTTAGACTTAAAGAACTTAAAGACCAGAAATCATAGTTTTAGGTGAGTTTTATCTGAGGAAAGAAATAGTACCAGGGAAAACTGATATCCATATAGAGGCTCTAATCATTGGATCCTATGGTACCCATGAAACCCTTGCTAATGGCATTATTGATAACTTCATTTTGCAAATCAGTGGGTACTTTTAACAGATGTGGTTAAAAAGTATCTTTATTTGTAAATAATAAATAATATTACTAGTAAAGCTTAGCTCTCCTGGTCCTTCTCACATCATTAGTTCTATTCCCTGATGCCCAGATACCCTCCGTTCCTCAGGCTTCCCTCTTTGACCCGCACTTCTCACCTTCTCCCTGACGGCTTGCTTCAGTATTTATTCCCAGGTATGGTAACAAACACGAAACAAGGCCTTTGAAAGAAGTATTTATTACATTTTCCATGAGAAAGGGGCACACCGTACCCTGCAAGACCACGTGCTGAAACACCACATTTTGCCAGGAGGAGTGAGGGGAAAGCCCAGATTAGAACTTCATTTGGGGTTTTCTATGGGATAAACAGTTTAGGATTGGGCTGTTCCTGGTTGTCTGCTACCTGGCCCTGGGTTGTTTTTTTTTGGGGGGGGGGGATGGTGGTTAAGGTTTTTATTTATTTATTTGACAAAGAGAGACACAGCGAGAGAGGGAACACAAGCAGACACAAGCAGGGGGAGCAAGAGAAAAAGAAGCAGGCTTCCCACTGAGCAAGGAGCCTGATCCCAGGCCTTGATCCCAGAATGCTGATGCAGGCCTTGATCCCAGAATCTCAGATCCCTTGATCCCAGAATCCCACATGAGCAGAGCCGAAGTGAGACACATAAGGAATGAGCCACCCAGGTGCCCCACCCTCCCCTGCCCCAGACCCCTCGGTTGATTTTGAGCGGGGGGAAATATGGGCTCAGTGTGTTTGTTAGATAAGGAAAAGGTGCAGAGAATTGGTTCTAGACCGCAGGACGGAAACCACCCCGGTCATTAGTTTGGCCGAGTAATCAGTGTGTGCCAAACCGACAAGGACGGAATCTAAGAAAATACAGCCAGAGTTTACTGTCTACTTTTGGATTTTTTTAAAAGATTTTATTTACTTATTTATTTGACACAGAGAGAGAGAGAGAGCAGGGGAAGAAGCAGAGTAAGAGGGAGAAGCAGACTCGCCTCTGAGCAGGGAGCTGGACGGGACTTGACCCCACGAACCTGGGATGGGGACCTGAGCTGAAGGCAGACACTTAACTGCTGAGCCACCCAGGCGCCCTTTGTTTGGATCTTTCAAGAGCACCTTTGTCCTCACATCCAGACCGCACTACATTCTACAAGCGTCATCGGTGTGTGTGTGTGTGTACATGCACAGATGAAGTAGCCATCTCGCTGTTACATATCTCCTTGTGAATATCAATACTTCAATCCCAAGAACTCAAAATCAAAGTTGTTACTCCCGCCTAACAACCTTGACCTTTGTCCTCTTTTCCCAGCTTGCCATTATTAGACACCCAATCACCCAAATCATAAATCTGGAAGACGACAGTGCCCTTTTAATTATCTGTGTATCTATGACCAGTCATCAATCCCTTCTGTCCTTACCTCTTAAATAGTTTTTTGATTCTGTACACTACTTTCAATTCATGACCCTTTATCAGATTAAGTATTGTTGCATAAAAACACTTGTCAAATGTCTGTCTCTGTCTAGTTCCACATACTATGTGTTTCCCATACAAAGCAAAGGGGAAGTTAATAAAATAAGACTGGGAAAAAAATTACATTGGAACCACCAAAGGCTTGGGGGCTGACTTCTCTTTTGTACTTTATGCTCAATATCAAAATAGCTGTGATTCCTTTAAAAAATAATCTGTTATTTTACCTCTGTATTGTTGTGTAGCATGTCCCCAGTATTTAGGATGTCCCTATTCCCACACATCAGTATGGCAAGTTCTTTTGCTTAAATGTCCCTCAGAACCTGCTAGGGTTTTCATTTCTTTTGAGAAACTTCCCTAACCCACCCTGTTCATCTGTACTGGTTCATCACTCCATGCTTTTCCATGCAGTTTTCCCAGTGTGTGGAAAACACTCCAACAATTTCCCACCCACACCCCATGCCTGAAGTTTCCAAAGAGCAAAGCTATTTTACACATCTGTATCTCGCTTACTCCCATCCACGGTCTGTTTCCTGAATCAAACTGAACTAAATTTGAAAGATTCCAGAACACTTCTCTGACTGGGGCTCCCAAAATTAAAAGTTATGGAACAATTTTGTTCCCAACAGAGAAGACATTTTTTCCTGGTACATCTATTGCTAGCAGCCAAGTTTATATATATATGTATATATATATATATACATATATATATGTATTATATATATATATATATAATTTCTTTCTTTCTTTCTTTCTTTCTTTCTTTTTTTTTTTTTTTTTTGGTTTCACTATTAGGCAGCTGTGGGATAATGCACATCTTCCCACATCAAACAAAGCCTGGTTTATTAATATGCAGTCTATTTTACACCAAACCAACTGCACCCAAAACCCCCTTTTAGAGAATATATAGAGGGGGAAATGCTGAGAAAACAGTTTATGTAAATATGGAAACAAGAGCTGAAGAGCAGGTTGTTACCCCAGACTCTGAAGGGGCGCCTGTGTGGCTCAGTGGGTTAAGCCTCTGCCTTCAGCTCAGGTCATAATCTTAGGGTCCTGGGATTGAGCCCTGCATTGGGCTCTCTGCTCAACAGCAGAAAACCTGCTTTCCCCTCTGCCTGCTTCTCTGCCTACTTGTGAGCTCTCTCTGTGTCAAGTAAATAAATAAAACATCTTTAAAAAAATAAAATCCACTAAATACATAATTTCTGTGATTTTAAGAATTTTCTTTAGGAAAAAAATAATAGGGAATATTTCACCATTCAAAAAGTAGCAGGTTTGAAAAATATCCCACAATAGTGTGTTTTTAAGTTTTTCACTAAATATGTTCAATAATGTATTTTAAGCTACAAGCTTAGGTATTTAATTCTTTGGAGTATAACCAAATTCTCTTATCTTAAGCCATATTACTAGGTAAAGAAGTCAAATGTTCTTTCCAGCAATAAAGTCTTTAATAAGTCAGTATTCCAAATGGTGCCTTCCCCTCAAGCTGGGTATGTCTAAAATAGATTCACTGTAAGGAGCAATATGTTTTTACAAATGTGTATATAAGACAAAATCAAGACTGATAAGTTGATATGTGATAATAAGAATAAAGTTGAGTAGTCTTAATATTAAGGGTTTCTTAATATTACACAGAAAACATGGTAGCAAATCATTTTCCTTAGATTCAAAATTCCACTAAGTGCTAAAAAAATAAGAGAATCAGAGTTCAGTATTTATACTATAAAAGGGATAGGGAAAATATTTCTAATTTTTATTTAAACACATTTTCTTTATACATCAAACCATTTTGATCCTGGAATAAGGTAGTCTAGTTCATTACCATACTCTTTTAAAATATATCCGTTTTACTAAAAACTAAAGGAACAATTGAAAGTACTTTTAAAATTCTTAATAGGCTTAATATGCTTCTGGAGAGTCAGAAAATTACACTGGTACACGGTCTTTGCAGAAGATTTGTACCGACACACGACTCCTGGCAAACCTCAAGGAGATGGAGGAACCCTTCGAAAAACAGCAGATTGGCTCAAGTGCGATGCCATACAAGCGGAACCCTATGCGCTCAGAGCGGTGCTGCAGCCTCGCCCGTCACCTGATGACCCTTATCATGAACCCGCCGCAGACGGCATCTACGCCGTGGTTTGAGCGCACACTGGATGATAGTGCCAATCGCCGTATCCGTTTGGCTGAGGCATTTCTCACTGCAGATCCGACACTGAATACGCTGCACAACATTTCTGAAGGATTGGTGCTGTCCCCTAAAGCAACTGAACGACGCATTCGGCAAGAGCTGCCTTTCATGGCCACAGAGAACATCATCATGGCCGTGGTGAAAGCTGGGGGTAGGCGCCAGGATTGCCATGAGAAAATCAGAGTGCTTTCCCAGCAGACAGCTGCTGTGGTCAAGCAGGAAGGGGGTGACAGTGACCTCATAGAGCGAATCCAGGCCGATGCCTACTTCAGTCCCATTCACTCCCAGTTGGACCATCTACTGGATCCTTCTTCGTTTATGGGTCGTGCATCCCAACAGGCGCAGAGATTCTTAGAAGAGGAGGTATATCCCCTGCTGAAACCATATGAAAGTGTAATGAAGGTGAAAGCAGAATTATGTCTGTAGCATTGGAAAAAATTCAACAAGAAGTCGTTGGCTTCATTAACTTAAAAAAAGGGGGGAGGGGAGCCTGGGTGGCTCAGTGGGTTAAGCCTCTGCCTTCGGCTCAGGTCATGATCTCAGAGTCCTGGGATCGAGCCCCGCATTGGGCTCTCTGCTCAACAGGGAGCCTGCTTCCCCCTCTGTCTCCGCCTGCCTCTCTGCCTACTTGTGATCTCTCTCTGTCAAATAAATAAAAAATAACTTTTTTTTTTTTTTTTTGCTTTGAAATGTTTTATTGAGGTTTTTCTAAAAGAGCAATAACTTATGCCGCGAACCGAAAGAGCAAGACGGCGTCTTCCATCCCCAGCTGTCATCCCCAGGGGCGGCCTACTGACAGCGCTTGGGGTCGGCCTGGGGATAAGACAGCGGGGCCAGGGCCGGGGCCAGGACCCCGGTGGGAGGAGGCCGGCGCTGCTGGGGCGACCGCGGAGTCAGGAGCCGCTGCGAGCAGCTGGGGGCCCCGGGGGTTCCTCCTGGCAGTTAGGAAGGGGAACCCAGCAGAGCCTCGCCAGGATCTGTCTGAGCAAAGCCCCGGGGCGCGCTCTGGCTCTGGCGTCGGTGCCTTTCGCTCCCCTGCGCAGACCCCACAACTGTTTATTTTTGATTGTATTTTTTAAAAATATACTTTTGTAAATGTTCCATAAAAATACTATTGTCTAGTCAAACACGGGTATTGCAGTACGAGCAGTAACTGCTCGGTCTTTGCTCTATAAAATGTGGAAAGATCATCACGCTGGATAGTATAGAAAAATGCCAGGATTCTAAGTATCACAAAAGCCAGTCCCGAGTGGGCGAACTGGAAGCGCCCCCCCATGGCGGGCGGGGCTCCCCTGGGGCTTCCTGCGCCTCATAGGCCTGCGGGACCCTACTGGGGCGCACCGGGTCGGACGAGGAAAGCATGGCCTCTGTCTCAGACTTTCATTCTGCAAACTTATTAAAAAGTTCCTAGATGTTGATAGTAACAAGTCAAAATCAGCAAGTAATACTGTGTTTACCTACTATTTCCATAATTTATTAAGTAAAAATGTCAGTGTAGTTGAGATCTTGGAAATATATCATCTATCACTCCTCCTCTCCTTGTCCTTTTTTTTTTTTTTTTTTTTTTTAATATAGATGAGCAACCTGAGATATTTTTGACCTAGTAGTTAGGGTCATATAAACAAATACATGAAGCCTTTTGATGAGAGGTAAGGAATACACAAGAATGCAATATGTTTGCAAAATGGCTATTCTAAATCTTACAATCATCCCAATCCAGGGCTTGGGGTTTCTATAGTAGTTAAATACATAATAATATAAATTAATTGTTTCCATTGGCCAAATAATTTGACCTCTAGAATGTAATTATTTGGGGGTACATAGAGGTAAAATTTAAGAAAATAGTCACACTATTATTAACAATAATAAAAAATTTAAAACCTAATTGTGAAACCATAAGGAGCTGATTACTTATTCTGCATTGATTGGAGAGCATATAACTATTCTGAAAAAAAATATTTTTTTCAATGAATATTTAGAAAGTTAGATAGGACAAGATTATAATCTTTTTGTTTGTTTGTTTGTTTAAATACTTTATTAACTGTGGGGGCGGGGGGCTGCAACACCCATGATTAAATATAAATTTTCCAGCTACTAAAATCTGCATTTTTCAATAAGGAACCCAAATAATTATGTTTATCTTTTTTTTTTTTTTTACATTTTATTTATTTGTTCATTTGAAAGAGAGATAGAAGGAGAGCATGAGCAGGGGGAGGTGGAGGGGGAGAGGGAAAAGCAGACTGTCCTCTGAGCAGGGAGAACCATACAGAGTTCAATCCCGGGATCCTGGGATCCTGACCTGAACCAAAGGCAGACACTTAACCAACTGAGCCACCCATGTGCCTCTAACTATGTTTACCTTAACACTCCAATATATGGGTAATTCCAAATGATAATGCTTTCTCATACTTTGTTATAGTAATTTCATAAGCATGAGCTTCCTCTTTTTTTAAAATTTTCTCTTCATTATGATTTTCTTTTTTCTTTATTAACATGTAATTTGCTATTTTCCCCAAGGGTACAGGTCTGTGATTCACGAGCACTCACCATAGCACATACCCTCCTCAATGCTCATCACCCAGTTACCCCACTGCTCCCACCACTATCTACTCCGGCAACCCTCAGTTTGTTTCCTGAGATTACGAGTCTCTTATGGTTTGTCTCCTTCTCTGGTTTCATCTTGTTTCATTTTTCTCTCCCTTCCCCAATGATGATTCTCTGTCTTGTTTCTCAAATTCCTCATATCAGTGAGATCATTTGATAATTGTCTTTCTCTGATTGACTTATTTTGGTAAGCACAATATTCTCTAGTTCCATCCATGTCGTCGCAAATGACATGAGATCCCACCTCACACCAGTCAGAATGGCTAAAGTTAACATCAGGAAATGACAGATGTTGGCGATGCGGAGAAACGGGAACCCTCCTACACTGTTGGTGGAAATACAAGCTGGTGCAGGCACTCTGGAAAACAGTATGGAGTTTCCTCAGAAAGTTGAAAATAGAGCTGCCCTATGACCCAGCAATTGCCCTACTGGGTATTTACCCCAGAGACACAAATGTAGTGATCTGAAGGGGCACGTGCACCCCATGTTTATAATGGCGATGTCCACAATAGCCAAACTATGGAAATAGCCTAGATGTCCATCAACAGATGAATGGATAAAGAAGATGTGAGAGGGGCACCTGGGTGGCTCAGTGGGTTAAGGCCTCTGTCTTCGGCTCAGGGCATGGTCCCAGGGTCCTGGGATCGAGCCCCACATCTGGCTCTCTGCTCAGCGGGGAGCCTGCTTACCTCTCTCTCTCTGCCTGCCTCTTTGCCTACTTGTGATCTCCATCTGTCAAATAAATAAATAAGATCTTTAAAAAAAAAAGATGTGATATATACATACACACACACACACACACATATATATAGATATAGATATAGATATAGATATATATCAGCCATCAAAGAAAATATTCTTGCAGTGACAAATAAGAAAAAGTGAGGTCCAGGGAAAAGAAAGAGGCTATTAACTACCTCACACCCATTAGTATGGTTACTATAAAAAACAAAAACCAGAAAATAACAAGTGTTGGCAAAGAGGTGGAGAAATTGGAATGCTTATGTACCACTGGGGGAATGTAAAATGCAGCCATCATGGAAAACATTATGGTTTTTCCACAAAAAATTGAAATTGAACTACCATATGATCTAACAATTCCACTTCTATGTATATTCCCCCCAAAATTGAAATCAGCCAATTAAAAAAATATTTGTACAACCATGTTCATGGCAGCATTATTCACAATTTCCAAAAGGTAAAAGTAACCAAGTGCCCATGAATAGATGAATGGAGAAGCAAGATGTGATATAGACATAGAATGGAATACTTTCAGTTTTAAAAAGGAAAGAAATTTTAACCTGCACTAAAACATGGATGAACCTTAAGGACATATGTGAAGTGAAATAAGACAGTTACAAAAGAAAAAATACTATAAGAACCCACTTATACTAAGTACCTACAGTAGCCAAAGTCATGCCTACTGAAAATGGAATGGTGGCTCCAGGGTCTGGAGGGAGAAGGGAATCAGGAGTTATCATTTAATAGGTACAGAGTTTCGGTTCTGAAACATAAAAAGAGTTCTGAGAACAGATGGTAGTGATAATAGCACAAGGATATGAATATACTTAATGTCACTAAAGTGTACACTTTAAATATGGGTAATATGGCAAATTTTATGTGACAAAAAGCAAATGTAATACAGTATTGAGTTACATTCCTTAAAATATATTTTCCCAGTACCTCTAGGTGGCTCAGTCTGTTAAGTGTCCGATTCTTGATTTCTGCTCAAGTCATGATCTCAGGGTTGTGAGATAGAGCCCCATGTTGGGCTCTACCCTGGGCATTGAGGCTGCTTGGAATTCTCTCTCTCTCTCTCTCTCCCTCACCTTCTGCCCCTTCTCCCATGCTCGCACTCTCCCTCTGTCCTTCAAAATTAAAAAAAAAATTTAAAAAAAAGAAAATATATTTTCCCTGACACAACAAAACACTAGTTAATGAAACAGTAAAAATTGACAATAAATAAAAAAAATCACAGTCTAGATACCATTGCCTTGTCTTTAAAATGATGTAGGTATTGACTGAAGGAAATAAATGTGTATCTAAGGATAAGAGGCTTCAAAATAATATTTAGAAATTCATGAATGAGAGATATAAGTCTAGTGTCAACCTTTCATATCTCTTTTACAATGTTATTTAGGAGTTCAACCAGATGCTACTGAATACTTCTATTTTATTTTATTTTACTTAATTTAATTTTATTTTATTTTAATGTTGAAAAGAAGCATACAAAGTCTAAGGAATAATGTTGGCAAACTCATTTCTTTATTAAAGTGTTTTATGTGAGTGTAATCTTTCTTAGCATAAAGCCTCAAAATATAGGGAACTCTTGAGAAAAACAGACTTGTTTTTAAATTTCACTCACCTCCTTGTCAACAACAACAAGAACTTAGGCATAAGGCCTATCTTCTCTGAGTCTCAAATTTTCTGCTTAAAACTGGGGTAAAAAACTGGCCACCAGTGTTACTAGGACCACTCAAAGCACATTTAAAGGGCTCAGTGTGTGGCGATTAAGACAGCTACTTTTGTAAATGTCCCTCAGTGTAGCTGAAAACTGATAACTAGGACATCTCTGGATCATCCAGCAAATGGTCACGACCACATGTGTGAATACTGAGAGAATCTACTTACAATAGATGCATGATCCAAAGGAACCATAACCTACATAGACATTAAATGAATCTTCCTATGAACAATATAACAAGTTACTCTATTAGTACAGTAAGAAGATAATACATATTTCTGAGTGCAGAGAAGAGCAATTAAAAAATAGTTTCCAGGGGCACCTGGGTGGCTCAGTGGGTTAAAGCCTCTGCCTTTGGCTCAGGTCATGATCCCAGGGTCCTGG